TTTGTGATTGTGTACAGAAACAACAGTAACTAAAGCCAGAAACAGTAATGCTGGAAATAGAAAAATTAGCTGGGCATGGTGGCACGCACTTGTAGTCCCAACTACTCAGGAAGCTGAGGCAGTAGGATCGCTTGAGCCCAGGTGTTTGAGGTTGCTGTGAACTGTGATGACACCATTGCATTCTAGCCCGGGCAATAGAGTGAGACTCTGTCTCAAAAAACAAACAAACAAACAAACAATAAATAAATAAAGCGGGGGTCACTGATAAGCCTCTATTGATGAGCTTAGTTCTCTCATTCGTTATGCCCCTGTAACTTGGGTGCCTTCCTCCCCACACCTTTATTCATGCTTGGCACACAATAGGCATTCAAGAAGTAGTGTTGAACACTCACATGCCTGGAAGTATCTGTGCACCCATGCACTCATTTTACTGTGATGATATTCTGCTATTCAAATGCTACTTTCCTCCATGAAATTATCCTACATTAAATGAGTCTTTTCAAAACTTTTTTTAATTACATAAGTACATTCTCATAAAAATATATAATATGGAAAAATGCAAAGATCTCCTGTTGCTGTCTCTCCATTGCATTCCCCTCTGCAATGTGTATCAACTTGCTGTGTCTTTTCATGCAGATTACATCTTTTAAATGAATAGTAGATGGTATGTGCTCAATAAATAGTATTATCCCACTCCTGGATATATAGTCATTACTATGTATTAAGTACCTATTATGTGTTAGATGCCATCTGTTGTCCCTGCAAATGATTCTGCGAAGTGGACACTGTTATCCCTATTTTAAAGGTAAAGAAATGGGGTTAAGTAAATTCTCTAGAGTAGGCTAGCTGGTAGATAAAACAGAAATCAACCTCGGGTTTAGCTCCATCTTACTGTCGCAGGTCCTTGTCTGTTTCATTCCCATGGGCTTTAACCATATTGTGTTCTATATTATGGGTATCTGTAAAATCTTTCTCAATTTCCAAACTATTACCCCAGTGCCTGGGGTGCATAGACCATCATCCACAGTGGGCTTTCAATAAATACCTACAGAAAAAAAGAGAAAAGAACGTATCAAACCCCGGGTTGCTGGGATGTCCCAAGATGGTGGCCATCTAGTCTGACAAGATTTGTTTTTGCGGATGCACCAGATAGATATTGTCCTGGATCTCAAATTGAGCAAATCCAGTTAGAAATGACTTGCTTGGTGGCACAGTAGAAGAAAAGTCACATCTTCATTTTGGGGGTGTGGGTTATTGTCATTTTGTTGGTTGGCTTTTATTTGTTTTCTTAATCACTAGTTTTGTGTAAATGATAATCTATTTTCAGAGATTTCATAACACAGTAGATGGTGATATCACTATGTCAGATAAAAAGTATGAGGAAAACAGAGGGATGAGTGAACTGGGGAGAGGCAAGGGGAGTGGGAACATGGAATCTTAACCCAATGGGGAGGCACTTAGAAATCACAACTCTTGGGACAGAAAGAAAACCAAGAGATCAGTTCATTTTCATGGGGATAGGTTGGGTAAATAAATGAATGTATCTTTCTGATCCTGGAATCTGGTTGGACCAGAATTGGCCAAACGCACACGAGCACTAGCGCCTGTTTGCACAGCCTTCCCTGCCCTGGAAACCACTTGATGGGAAACCCCATCAAGAAATGTCCTCAATAGATATGATAGACGGAATTCCAAAAAAAGCTATTACCCACAGATGGCCACCAAAAATGTTATGTGAGTTTGCACAAAGGGCTGACACTTTACTTGAATTTTAAATGTGCACATGGATAAGGAGGGGAGATATGTTCTACATTTCATTTCCCAATTGCTCTTGCAGGTCTGGCCGGCTTTGCTCGCCTCTGTCCTGGAGACCAGTATGAGGTGAGTATTGTCTTAGTCCAGGTGTTGGAATTGAGGACTTGAAGGACAGGTGCTGGTTGTCACTATGTTGCTCCTTAAGTTGTCTTTTTTTTTTTAATTTTTAATTTTGAAAAACATTTTAAGCCAATGAGCAAGTTTGGAGATTGATGTAAGACTTCTCATATACCTTTCATCTAGATTCATCACCACTTTTTAACACTATGCCACATTTGCTTCATTATTTTCACTATTGTTGTTATTTTGCGGAACCTTTTTAGAGCAAGATGCAGACAACTTGACCCTTCGTCCCCACCTTCTTCTCCTAAGAATGAAAGGACATTGTCTCACATAAGATCTCACAGTCCTCCACACCAGCGAGTTTAACATTGGCACGTTAGCCAATGTCACCTGATGTACTGTCTATGTTCATATTTTTCCAGTGTCCCAATACTGTAGTAGGTTTTTTTTTCTGATCCAAGATCCAATCCAGAATCATGACTGAAGAATAATAACATCTAGATCTTTATAAAAAATACACTCCATAAAGCCTTTGATCTTTTCCTCCTTCAAAAAGGAACTTATATAATAATTTCATCTGACTATCTCCTCCGAAACCTTCTATAATCATACCTCTTGGTGGGGGTGGGGATGTATCTTCCCATGAACATTAAAGCCGTCCGCCCACGGAAAGACTGCATACCTTCTCCCCAGAGTAGGTTGGATAAGAAGTCCTTGTCCAGCCCCGTCTCCCTCGTCCGGAGGAAGGATGATTTTCTTCCTTGCTTCTGATTGCTAAGTAGGTTTTAGTTGATGGTTCCTTGTCTTTCAAAAGGAGCTGAGGTATGTGGAGAATTAATCCCAATGGCTATTCTGTTGATGCAGAACTAATAAGCAAGAGAAATGTTTGACATGAGTGAGCAAAAGAGCACAGAACAGTGACCTTTTACTAAAGAAAACCCTCCACTCCTCTGTCTTAGAGAAGCAGAATTTACTCCCCTTGAAAAGTGTCTTCCCCTCTTATCATCAGCTCTACCAAGACCCAGGAGTGAGGGGATAGAGAAGGGAGGAGCAGCAGTCACCTGTGTCCTTGCCCTTTTGACCTTGGTGTTGGGGCGGGGGGCGGTGGAATATGAGGGCCGTTGGATGTCTCCTCTCTAGATTTTCATGAAGTATGGCCGGCAGAGGTGGAAACTGAAGGGCAAGATAGAAGTCAATGGCAAGCAGAGCTGGGATGGAGAAGAAACGGTTTTCCTGCCCCTGATAGTTGGGTTCATTTCCATCAAGGTACAATATTGTCATTCCCTTTTGGCATCCTTCCTGGTGTCGTGGCTGGATGATCCGCGCTGGCGGACTTTACCTGTGACTCTGTCTGCCGCCCCTCTGTCCTGCAGACTCATCTGCACTACAGTCCGTTACAAAGACAGCTGCTCTCACGTCAGGGTGGGCAAAGTTAACATAAGATGAGCTTTTGAACTATCCACCTCTGATTTCAGACAGGATTCTGAAAGAAATGACCCAACTGGCTAAGCAAAAAAGAAAAAGTACCCTAGAGTATCCGACCTTTCTCCTGCACTGTGATATAAGGCCTTTCGCCCCTCACTCTCTGTAGGTCACGGAGCTCAAAGGGCTGGCAACTCACCTCCTGGTAGGCAGCGTGACCTGCGAGACCAAAGAGCTGTTTGCAGCCCGGCCTCAGGTGGTGGCTGTCGACATCAATGACCTTGGCACCATCAAACTGAACCTGGAGATCACCTGGTAGTAAGTTGCCATTTTTTACTTCATCATGTGAAAATATATGCTACAGGCTAGTGCTGTTCAAAGTTGGGGCTTCCCCCAACAGCAGCACCAGGGAGCTTGTCAGGAAAGCAGAATCAGGCCCCAGCCCAGACCGACTGTGTCAGAATCTCTCAGGCCCAAGAATCTGTTTAACGGACTCTCCAGGTGATGTGCACACGTGTGAGAGTTGGAGAAGCCTGAGTCATTTCACTCTCCTCTTCCTCCTATTTTAAAATATTTTATTCTGCCTCCTTTCCTCCCTCTCTACCTTTAAATATATCGAGAAATATGTCTTCTCAAGTAAACTAATTTGAAAGAAAATAGCTGTCCAATATGAGAGATTTTGTCCTCAGAAAGCTCCTGATTCTTGCTATAGTGCTTTAATCGCTTAACCTTCTTTATTTTATATACTTCCCACTGCTCTGGAAAATTATGATATCTTTAGTTCCTCCACATTCTCTTTACTGAAATAGAATATTTCCAAAGGGCAAGAGACATCTTTTGTCAAAGCAATGAATTTAAAAGTGGTTTTCCAAAGTCACCCTCTGAGAAAGGTCATGATAAGCTGTTAACACTGGTAGCTCACATCTAATATCATTTTCCTGGCATGTTACCAAGTAAATACGACATGTTAAGTATTAATGTTCAGAGTCTCCTTTGCAATAGAGTCAGGTGTGGAAGCAGCAAAGATGCTGTCACCTTGTCATTGAAATAGCGTCAGCACCCTTTGCCCAGCCCTTCCTTCCTCATAATCTGCAGTCGCTGACATCTCAAATGCAAGATCCTTCTTCTTGCTGGATGAATCGGATATCATGGTGATAAGTGGCATCATTGTGAGCAGACTGTTAGTCTCTTCTCAATCACACAAGAGGCTCTGTCAACCGAAATGAATGGGATTCTATTTTTGAGTGTTTTCTTTAGAACTGAACAATAGTCTGTTAATCTCTTATATTGTTAAAGTGTCCTACAAAGCTCAAAGAATTTCTTACAGACTTTTCCAACATCTTGTGCTGTTGGGGCAAGCATTGATGTGTTTGTGTTTCTAATATCAATGAGGAAGCAGACACATCTAGGTGTATAGATTAATTGTGCTTAAAACTGTGATAAGAATCTGCGGTCCCTTGGGTGGGTCTAGACTTAGTTTTCTGCTCCACTTTCTTTTATCTGGGTTTATTTTCTGACATGTCAATTTAGCCAAAACCAGCTCAGTTCCCACTGGAGTGAGTTTACTTTAGTATAATGAGGTGCTCTCTTGGCCTGCGGTCCATTGATTATAGGTGATTTTAACAAACATGCATACATGGGGACCTGTTGTTTTGCAGTCCATTCGATGTGGAGGACACGACCCCATCCTCAGGTGGCGGGAACAAGGCGGCAGCCCTGCAGAGGAGAATGTCCATGTACAGCCAGGGTACCCCGGAAACACCCACCTTCAAAGATCACTCCTTCTTTGTAAGTTCAGTGTGATTTCTGGAGTAGAATCGATCAGTCTGACCCAGTGCTTGCACCGTGTTTGAAATGCTTCACAGACAGTGCCAGGGATTCTCAGCAATTCCATCAGAGGTGGGGGGCCTCCTCTGTCTTTCCTCTCGCCGCACCCACTTTTCCTATTGCTTTGATGATGATGTGTAGACTTTTTCAAACATTCTCTAAGATCAGCCCTTTAAAGAAGTGACTGTAAACAATGGCCTGCTTGTTTTAATCAGAAACGCTAAAAAGCTAACAGCACGTGGTAACCTGATTCTTCCCATTAACTCCCCCATCTTGCTTTGACTTCTGAAGAGGTGGCTGCATCCTTCACCAGACAAGCCGCGGCGGCTGTCTGTCTTGAGTGCCTTGCAAGACACTTTCCTTGCCAAGCTGCATCGCAGCCGCTCTTTCAGTGACCTGCCCTCCCTCAGGCTGAGGCCCAGGGCCGTGCTAGAGTTTTATGTGAGTGTGGCCTGCCCGGGTGTGGAGTGCTTGACTTGAGGGGCTTGTGGCATGTGTGCTTCGGCATGTCCCTTCTTTTGTCGTCTCTGCCTTGTTCACTGGGTCACTGGGTAATAGTTACAGCTGTCCTGTCCTCGGGGTGGGAAACTTGGCCGTGCATGCAACTTTGTTAGAGAGGCGGTTTATCCTTCTCTTCTAATGATTCCTGTTTTTGTGCTGTGATTTTTCTCCATTGTGGCAAAGATATCCATGGTAACAAGATTTTCATTTTTAAAAACTACAGTCACACCTAAGGCCAAAGGAGATTTTATTTCAGAAGGTAAACAAGCTTAAGCCTTTCAAAAACTGGCGTTCAAGGAACTCAGAAGGATTTCAACCAGTTTTACTAGAGCTATTTCTATTTGAAGAAGTTCTCAGTCTTAGTTTATTGTAGTGTTTGTTAATTTTATACTACCTTGGTAAAAGAAACCCTTAATTCACAGGAACACAATAGGTAACCTACACTGTATGTATTGTACATCATGTCACCAGAGAACACACACACACACACACACACACACACACACACAGAATATCCTGTTCTTCACAGACTTTAGTAATCTTTGAATGTCCAGAGAAGAAAGGACTAAAAGTCTTCCGGTTAATAATAATAACAATTGCATCTTACTCATTGAATTAAAAAATGCAGGTGAAAAAGACCAGGCTAAACTCAAATGCAATTTCACATGTACCAAGACACAGTAGAGCTAGTACAGTTGTGTAGGTAACTGTCAATATAATGTGTATATTCATGCTCATGTGCTGCCGGTTAGAGGGTTGTGGGGGAGAGTTGGTAGAGGTTTAATAGCATAATTTAAACAAGGTTAAGATTAGAAAAAACTTGATGGCTTCCTATAGCCTTCTGGATAAACACAAAGGTCCTCAGAGTGGCCATTCCCATCTGGCCACAGCCCAGCTCGGCCCATCGCTCACTTTTCCAGTCTTTGTCCTCTGCTCCGGCCCCTCTGAGCTTCTGAGTGTCCTCCAAAGGCACCACATCCTCTCAGGATCTCATGTCTTTACATGCACTGTTCCTTCTAGAAAGCACCCCTTCCTCCTCCTTCCTCCTCCTGGCCACTGCCTCACTCTGAGGCTGAGCTCCAGAACCAGCTCTTTCTCAGGCAGCAGCCCTCTCCTCGCTGGGGTCCTGCCCTCATGACATCACACTTCCCTTACAGCACGCATGCCCTTGCACCACTGTGTACGATGTAGACAGACCCCTCCCCTTGGTAGACTATAAGTCTCCTCGGGCAGACTCAATTTATTCTAACTCAATATTTGCCACTTACATAGGTATAAATTTGGGTTTGAGAATTGGAACTCAGGAGAAATGGCTAGGGAGGACTTTGGAATTTCAATAAGAATTGTGACTACTCAATCCTCTTGCCTCCCACCAATGCCTCCCCAACCCCCTTCCCCCCCACACCCAGTGCTACCATGAGAGGGCGCCCCAGGAGACCAGATGAGGCTGGACAGGACCACCTGGAGCTCCCATGGGTTCTGCGAGATGCCTAAGTGACCCCCATGGAGGAGGTTCAGATCATAGGACTCCAGGCCTTCCTTATCCCTCCACAACAGTTCCCCCTTTAATCTCTCCTAGAGGCATAAGTTGTAGGGGAAGGGTGTGCAAATAGGGGAGGGAAGAAACTAAAACAAGCTGGAGGAAAAGAAGAGGAACACCAGAACTCACCACTTCAAGGACTTTGGGAAGCACAGTTTCATAATCACTAATAGAAGGAAACATTCTCAGTCTTAGAAGTGAAGAGACTGAGCTTGTAGAGGTTACTTGAGTGTCTCGGTGACACATCATTTTACTCGTCCTGCAGTTAAAGTAAATCTCCTTCCCACCAGACTAGAGTGGACAGTTTGGGTGGAACTAACTGCATGTGTCAGGATGTAGTGGCCTCAGATCCAGCAGCCATGGGACCCAGGACATGGCTGGAGGAGGACAGGGAGACTTTATCTTTCTGTCTGCACCCCGTTTCACTAGCTGTAACATTTTTGTGTGCTAGGCTTATTCCCAGGACTATTGTGAGAATTCTTCATTGCATATGTGATTAAAATAGACATTAACTTGATATTAATACTACCATTTACTTTAAAAATCTAATCTGGGCCAGGCATGGTGGCTCGCACCTGGAATCCCACCACTTTGGGAGGCCAAGGTGGGAGGATGACTTGAGGCCAGGAGTTCCAGAGGAGCCTCGGAACATAGCAAGACCCTATCTCTACACAAAATAAGAAAAATTAGCCAGGCGTGGTGGTACATGCCTGTAGTCCCAGTTACTCAGGAGGCTAAAGTCAGAGAAAAATAGTAATAATCATCTGGAATCTAAGAAAAATGAGCCATTTTGATGGAATGAATCTCAAATAACTAGAAAATCATTTCCACAAAGCAACATTTGGCATTTAGACACTATACACAGACTCCACAGTGCAAGGAAAATTGACCTCGAAATTGTAATGCCTGAATAAACAAATTATCTTGGTTACCTGGATATTTCTGACCTCTTTCTTCAGCGTTCTGCTTCATGAAGCACAGAGCACACCTGTGACACAGACCGAGTCTGCTTGACAGAGGGCTCAGTGTTTGTAGACACACTGGGAGCCCTGGGTTTTGCCCCCTGGAAGATAGATGTTCAATGTATTAGTCTTTTTCTCTTATTTCTAGAGAAACTATGGAAATGCATTGCTGGCCTTGAATTATTTATGGCATGGTTACTAAATTAATAAAACATTTTCAAGAGCTTGGGATTTGTGGGTAGAAATTTAAAAAAAAAAAATTATTAAATAACTGAAGCAGAACAAAGCATCACATCTGTGGAGTGAAATAACATGAATGTTGGAAAGTCTGTTAAGATAAATGCCAAAAAAAAGAAAAAGAAAAAAATCTGTAGTATTATTCATAGCTGTGGCTGCCAAATATTGTGAGATGCTGGGATTTAGAAAACAAGCACCATCCCCCGCCCAAACTTTTCTTTTGAAAAATGTCAAACCTAAGAATAGTACCATGAACTTTCACCTGAATTCAACAATGGAAATGGTTTTTAGTGGCTTGTTTTCTTTTGCCAGTCATGCACACACACACATACACAACTCAAGAAATAAAATGCTAATATTATGAAAATTCTGCCTTTTAAATTTTAATTGCTTTGTATTCTGTCTGAAGATAAACCATGCCAAATGCATCATTTGTATCAAAAATAATAACAAAGTACCTTTTATCCACAGTCAAATCTACCTGATGACATCTTTGAAGATGGAAAGGCAGCCGAGGAGAAAATGCCACTTTCTTTCAGCTTCAGTGACCTGCCCAATGGGGACTGCACCCTCACCTCCAACTCAACAAATCCGGAAATTACCATCACCCCTGCAGAGCATAACCACAGCAGCCTGTCCTCCCAGAATGAGGGCATGGATGATACCAGCTTGGCATCTTCCAGGAACTCCTTGGGAGAAGGCCAGGAGCCAAAGTCACACCTGAAGAAGGAAGACCCGGAGGAGCCCGGGAAGCCTGCCTCGGCCACGTCCGAGCCTTGCCGCCAACAGTCTGCAGGTGCCGGGGCTGAGCGCCTGTTCCTCGAGAATGGTGTCGCGGAGGCACTTCTGCAAGAGTCCGATGAGGCCTCTGAACTCAAGCCTGTGGAACTGGACACTTTTGAGGGAAACATTACGAAGCAGCTGGTCAAGAGGCTCACCTCAGCAGAGGTGCCAGCGGCCACAGAGCGGCTGCTCTTTGAGGGCTCTGTCGGTGGAGAGTCTGAAGGCTGTAGATCCTTTCTAGATGGAAGCTTAGAGGATGCCTTTAACGGGCTTTTCCTTGTATTAGAACCACATAAAGAGCAGTATAAAGAGTTTCAGGATCTAAACCAAGAAGTCATGCATTTGGATGATATTCTAAAAGTAAGTACCTCTTCAGAAAAATTGGATTAGGTTTGGAAAGAGGCATCCTAAACCAGCATTCTATTTAAGATGGTATATCTTTTTTAAAATCCTGTTCTATCACAGGATCAATAGATAATCATCATTTAAGTGGCATGGATCGTTATGCCAATAGTGCACATTAATTTTTGTTTTCCTGGTAACAGGAGATTAACTACATTGATTAGGACTTAAATTAAAAACGCTAAAGAACTCCTCCAGTCCCAGAGTTAATCCTTCTAATCCCAAATGTGAAATGGTTGCACTTTGATCATCACAGTCTCACCGATGTCACCGAGTAGGCTCCCTCTCAGGGTATCAGGAAAGCAGGGAGCCCCTTTCCTGATTGGAGTCGGAGTTAGCCAGCCCCAGCGTGAGAGCCACCGGCATCCTTCCCTCCCTCTCCCACCCTGCATAGCACTGCCTGCGTGGAGGATTCCCGTCTGGATTTGGCCCAAATCAGCAAGTCAGAATCTCCAATCAATCATCAATGAATAATCATCGGTTCAACTCTTGCAGCTGGGGGACCCCAGCCTCCACCAGAGATATCGTCCTCAATTCGTGGTGATCAGACAGCCCAGGGTAGAGGTGGGAAGGTAGGATGAGAGGGACTATGTCCTCTCAGGCAGGAGGTCCTAATAATGAGATCCTTATTGCTCCATCAGAATGCATCTGTCTCCACCTGGCACATGGATTAAATTTTTTTAAAAACACCGCACAAGGCTGAGCACAGTGGCTTGTGCCTCTAATCCCAGCATTTTGGGAGGCCAGGGCTGTAGGATCACTTGAGGCCAGAAGTTCAAGACCAGCCTGGGCAATATAGGAAGACCCCCATCTCTACAAAAAATTTAAATGTTAGCCAGGCATGATGACACATGCCTGTAGTCTTAGCTACTCCAGAGGCTGAGACAAGAGGGTCACTTGAGCCCAGAAGTTCGGGGTTACAGTGAGCTATGATCATGCCACTCCACCGTGGGCAACAAAGTGAGACCCGATCACCTAAAAGAAAAGAAAAAACTGCACAAGGAGCCAGAACTTGAATTTTTGTCTCAAATTTCACTCCCACTTCTTGTATTCTTTGCTTTGCGACTGTGATTTATATTGTCACATAGAAGAGAACTTGGATCCTTTTTCTTGAAAGAGCAATTCTTTAGGGGACCTGCGCCACAAAAAGGCTTGAAAGTAAGGTTGCAGTGGCAAGCTGAGAACCAACCCACAGAAAGCTGTTGCATCCCTTTGTATGACTGTTTTTAAGATGTGGTTCCCGAAGGCATCTGGAACTACATTTCCAAGGCTTTTCTAACCATCTTATCTCTCTATTCAGTCATGTTGACCTAGCTCTGGAGGACATTTGTGCCTAAGGCAGATAATTCAGGCTCTAACTCTCCAGGTCCTTGAATGCTCATGACAGATTAGGTTCAGCTGTGGACAGAGCCTCCCAGAAGCAGGGAAGGGCACTCTGAATCTGCTCTCTTTAAAATGTATTACAAAAGCATCAGCTCAGGTTTTGTGCCTGGAGGTTGCTTATCTCGTACTCCACTGAGCGAGCATCTTTTCCGCACAGTTGACAGCTTTGGGCAAAAGGTTTTCATTTCAGATAGCTGACACACAAATTGACCCCACCTGAAGTGAATGCCTTAAAGGAAGTCCGTAGTGATGGTAGCTCCTATTCCAGGCATTTAGGATGCTGATATGTAGTTCAATCCACTGGGAAGCATGAAGCACGTCATCTGTTAGTTTTATAAAAACCTGGTGGTCACGGATTTCTTTCCAGAGTATTATCTCAGTCTGCTGTTGTTCCAAAACTATCCTGCTACTGAAATCTTCAACTGTCCCCTTTTTTTGTGATGACCAGTATTTAAACACACCCATACTGTACAGGATCAAGTCGTGTGGATAGCCAGTTTAAGAAACAGGACCCTAGAAGTGGGTTGAGTCCAGACTGGCTCCCTCTATCCCCCTGAGATTGAAAACTTCATGAGAGTTTAGGTCTGGGGCAAGTGGCTTTGTATCCAGCCAGAATTAAAGCATCAGCTGGACAAAGCTCTCTCTTTTTCTCCCCCCTCCTTCACATTCCTAGGATGCTAAACATCTTCAGGATCAGAAACTAAATGATGCTGCCTCTTGGACGGAGATCACTGAGGGTGAATGAAACAACTGTGATTTAAAAGACTGAAAGACGTTTTCCCCGTGTGATTTTGTGCCATCTTGAGTGTCAGAGACAAATCCCCACAAGGCCCTTCCAACCTTGTGCTAAGAAATCAGCAAGGAGTACCACCTAACTGGATGGAGGACATTTAGTGCTTCTTATGTGCAGGACTTGTCCCATTCAATCCACCCCAGCGTCCTCTTGAATATTTGGAAATACTTCTGTCTTTGTGCCCACAGCAACTGGCACTGTTCTGTTTATAATGTTTCAGCTTATGCCCAGCATTAGAGAATGCTCCAGGCCATAGAATGGGTTTGCTCCCATAATTCCAGGGCCTGGTCAGAGAAGTGATGAGACTTGTTCCTTTCAAGATAGAGCTCCAGAGAAAGCAGGGCTAGTTCTTATCATGCCCACGCCATTCATTTTTTTCCATGATACTGAAAGGAAAAATTATATGCTGTGAATATAACCTGAAAATATAGGACTTCTTACATAGGGAGCGTGGGCTAGGTGAATTTGAGCAGTTTCCTGTTTCTAGGATTTGTTTTATTAGTCTTTTAGAGCAGGTGCCTTAGATAGCTAGCACCTGTCTGAGGACACTGAAGATGTTGCCTCTTGAAATTAGAGATTCATCATCGACTCAGTGACTTAAAATTTGTCTGTTGGTTGTATTTTCTTTAAGAATGAGCATTAGGCAGAGGGAATATAGCATTTCTGTTTCCCAAAGCTTTGTGGTTGTCATTTTTCTAAAACTTTTTGTTATAAAATTTTAAACGGAAGTAGAGAACATCCTATAATGGATCCCAACGTGCCCATCCTTTAACCTCCACGGTGATCACCTCATGACAATCTTGTTTCATCTGTTCTTCTACCTGCTCACTTCCCTCTGGATTATTTTGAAACAAATCCCCATATATTGTGCCATTTTGTTCATGGTTGTACTTTTTTGGATATAAAGATTTTTAAAATGCATTTTTTAAAATGCCAACAAAAAATAAAAGCTTGAAAAAAAAAAGTGTCGCATCTGCAACTGAGTGCCATGTGTCCTCTTTCTCCTTCCGAATGTGTTGATGCCTTCTCTCCTTGGTGCCTTCTACCTTTGCAGTGCAAGCCAGCAGTAAGCCGCAGCAGGTCTTCCAGTTTAAGTCTTACAGTTGAAAGTGCTTTAGAAAGCTTTGATTTCCTGAACACCTCTGATTTTGACGAGGAGGAGGATGGTGATGAGGTTTGTAATGTTGGAGGAGGTGCTGACTCAGTATTTTCAGACACTGAGACTGAGAAACATAGGTAAGTCTGAAGTTAGTGTCTACTTGTATTTCTCCTGTCATAGCTGGTATAGTAGCTGTTTGTTACCATCAGAGGGGACCTGGTGCACATCTCCAGGGAAGATAAAACTCCCTATGTGAGTGACCAATTGGCTTACAGTTTCTTTGTATTGTCAAGTACAACTTCTAAATATTGCTCACCTCTTTTGAATTGCTCAAAGGAAAATAAATTTCTTTCCTTCTTTATAAATGAAGGGGAAAATTTTGTTTGCATACATCTTATAGGGTTCAGTGTCTACAATTGGACCCCATGCAATTAATTCCAAATTAACTAGGTATACTGTTTCTGGAGAACCTCCTACTGGATAGTAAATTTGGACTTGGTTCTCCTTGGTCTTTGTTTTGGGGAGGTTTGTTTTCCCTGTCCATTTACCTGTTTCTCAGTCGGTTTAAGCCCAGCAAGTCTTTGCGTGAGATTAAGCTCATGAATGCAATGTCAAAGCCAGGTTTAAGTCCCATGGTACATATTTTCCTTGGAATGTAAGAGGGATGACTGATGACTGATAACAGCCCCTGGATCTGCAGCCCTCTAGGTGAAGAATGTGACCTCCTTGCTGGGGGGTGGCGAAGGTGAAACATTGTCACCTTCTCCATCAGGCATCCTTGGGCAGCCAAATCACATTTTTAGAGCTAATGCCTGGGGCCCATTTTGTAATTATAGATGAACAAAACAAGCACAATGGAACATACCTCCCTCAATTGCTGCAAAGGGTAGATTGCCCACCCATCTTTACCTATGACACAACGTTTTCGAGTTACAATGACCATGACAATTCCTCCTTCACAAATCTTTCTGTGAGAGATGTTATTGTTTTTGGTTTTTGTTGTTCCTGGAGGGTTTCTTCTTCCACAATAGAACCAGGAAAAAACCATGAGAACTAGAATTTACCTCTTGAACAAACTGGGAGCTTAGCAAAGAAAATTTGTTGAATGAATGTAATGCTTAAGTTATACTTCTCCATTGTACATTGAGATTTTTCTAGCTCAGTTGGGTTTGTGAAATGCTTCTTGACCAAAAGTTGTTCTGTATACTTGTTAACATAAGCTGTTACATAATATAGCAAGGTCAGGCATCCATTTAAACTCTTTCTCTTCTTGCATTTAAACAACAAAAATACCACAGCTTGTGTACATTTTGCAGAACAATAATATTAAACATGTCTAATTCAATCAATCTTATTATATGGCATCAGAGGTATTAGGAAAAAGCATGTGTGTGTGTGTTTTAAATATGTATTGACTGCCATGTGTTCATTGCCAACACACAAGCTGAGTGTTTTCCCCTTGGAGGCAAATGTGAATCAGAATAAAGCATTCAAAGCCTCTAAACGCTGGTGAATGAGCTTTATAAATTGTAGACACTGGAGAGTGTGAGGCTAGAAGCCAAAAGCTGCCCTGTCCCATCTAGCTGTGTGAGCTGGGACATGCTCATTAACATCCCTGCTAGTCGTGTGAAATGAGACTACAATTCCCTCCCTTCCTAGCACACAGATTTAAGACTAAAATTAGATAATATATGCAACAGATTTTTTTTAAATGTAAATGCCCATCATCATATAACTTTAGACAGTTTAACAGTGAGATTTAAATAAAACATGAAAGGCAGAACTAAGCTATGCCTCTAAATATTCAAACACCCCTTTTAACTTTTGTCCAGATAGAACATAGTGCCTCTCTTCTTGGCAGCTTTCCTTTTTTCTTTTCTTCAAGTAGCAATTGATCTGAAGCCAGGAAAAAGCCTTGACAGATTATTTCTTAATGGCATTGCCCTTGGGAAACCACAAATATAGAGGACAGTTTAATCCCAGGGAATTTGGCAGATCACTCTGCCAACAGAGCAGGAAAGTGCAACAAATGCAAAATGAGGGCACATTTCACAGATTTCTTGGTAAACTATTTCATAAATGCTTCATTGTGCTTGAGAAGCAAACAGAGAATTCTGGAAGCAATTTGTTTGCATGGTCTTTTAACACTAGGCAAATTGACAACCAGGCCTAATTAAGTCATTTTTGAAAGGTATCTCTATTTTTCAAGGTAGGCAAATGAAAGACCATTTTCAGGGGGAGCTATTCAGGCCTGACATGAGCCACATTGAGTTGACCTGTGGTATTTGTGCACAGAAATAGCTAATGTTTTGCCCACCTTCCTGCTTCAACAGTTATAGGTCCGTTCACCCGGAAACCAGAGGGCATCTCAGTGAAGCACTGACTGAAGACACAGGAGTTGGGACCAGTGTGGCAGGAAGCCCTCTGCCACTGACCACAGGGAACGAGAGCCTGGACATCACCATTGTCAGGCACCTACAGTACTGCACCCAACTGGTTCAGGTAGGATCAGCGACCACATTTGTGCTTGAGAATCCAGGTTGTTTACGTACCAAGAAAGTGTGCTTTCATTTTTCAGTTTTGCTGGGGAAATGAGAATTCAGGAATAAGAGAACAGTCCTGCTTTGCTTTGAGCCAGCTCAAAAATGCTGATGGGCATGCCAATGCTTCTTCAACCCTGAGTTTTTCACCTTAAAACCTGGAGACCTTTTAAGGTCTGGAGACCTTAAAAGGTAGTAGGTGGAATATGGCTAGCTCTCAATTTTGACTAATGTGGTAGTAGATGAGAGTAATTTAAGAAAATTTTTTAAAGGTATTTGTATTCTGCCATCTGCAAATGGAGTTTGAAAATCAGTAGTACTGAACATATAGGAATGTGAATGTCACAGGAATTTGTTTTTCGCCCCTGCATAGCTAAAAGCAAAGTGCTAAGAAACGTAACTGTGTTTTCCCAGATCTTGAGTAAGTACTTCTTCTTAACAATGGGAAGAAATACTTCTCTGGGTCATCATCATCATCACCAGTTAGCTCTCACTCTAGAACACCCTAGAGCTGGTTTTACTTCTCATCTCAAGCTGTCTACCACTTAAGGTTTTTCAACAGTGCAGCAAATGTATTGAATTTCTTTTGTTGAAGGACGGATCTCCTCTGTCCTGAACAAGACATTTTTCCCCAAGCATCTACTTGAAAGCTTCCTCCTTGGCTTGTTGCTTGTCTTCACCTAATGTTGTCCTTCTCCCAGCTTGCTCAGATGTGCGTAGAACAGGGAAAAATGTGCAAGCAAATGTAATAATGGTTTCAGGGAGATCTGCCAAGCAGGAAAAGTGCAAAAAGAAGAGGAATTGTGCTCCTAAGAGCCTAGGATCAGCTGGAAAGCAAGAGTCAGGGTGAGGAGTAGGAGCCCTAGGGAGGCCAGGAGTGGGGCGGTTTTGCTTCCTTGGTAACACGCTGGTGGGGAGATGAAGAGGAATATGCTTCTCCACCACCAATGAAGAACCTCAGGGTAGCTTCAGGCAACTTACGTGCTGTGGGAATTGGTTGGTGATTATAACCTTGCCACTTGGTTGGCCAACACCCTAGTTGAACTCTTCTATCGAGTACTGAGGTTAAAAATCATGATTCCGGCTGGGCACAGTGGCTCGCGCCTGTAATCCTAGCACTCTGGGAGGCCGAGGCGGGTGGATCGCTTAAGGTCAGGAGTTTGAGACCAGCCTGAGCAAGAGCAAGACCCCGTCTCTACTAAAAATAGAAAGAAATTATCTGGACAACTAAAAAAATATATATATAGAAAAAATTAGCCGGGCATGGTGGCGCATGCCTGTAGTCCCAGCTACTCGGGAGGCTGAGGCAGGAGGATCACTTGAGCCCAGGAGTTCGAGGTTGCTGTGAGCTAGGCTGATGCCACGGCACTCACTCTAGCCCGGGCAACAGAGCGAGACTCTGTCTCAAAAAAAAAAAAAAAAAAACATGATTCCGAAAACCAATCTAGCAGAAGATGCAATTTCTTTTCTGATCAAAACGGGACAAGGATTTTTGTTTACTTATAGCTATTCCATACTCACCAACCATTCAAGTGACACAACTTTCACAGCTCTGTATCCTTGTTGAGCCTGATACTGTGCTGAGCAAGCTATCGGTTTACCTATTAGAGGAAAGTAGCTATTTTGTGAGACATAAAAGTGTTCTCTTCCATAAAGGGTGAATGTTTTCTCCCAGGAACTAATTGGCATGCAGTAGTCAGTGCAATGTTTCTCCTTATAATAAGCCCATAGTTATAACATTTCAGCTCTTTGGTGGGGAAGACCAATGCTAGACAAACAAAAGAGACGGATATAAAGATGTAGACTGAAGGGGTGAGGCTTAGAAACTTAATTTCTCACTTGCACTCATTCCTGAATCTATGAATTTACTTATTCACTTGGTATATAATTGCAGAGAGATAAAAATGGAGATCCGCTAAGACTCAAAATAGCTACAATTATTTTTGAATAAAGTATTAGTACATAATTGCTAAACTAGACTTTGAGTTTGAAGATCCTGTTTGTTTTGGAGTCCAAATACGTTAGACAGTGCAGCATGAAAGTCTGAGACTGCAGCCCGCATCCATGCCTCCCAGGTGACCAGGGCAGATCTCTGAGAGACACAGAGAGAGGAGTAGAACCATCAGGCTGCAAGCGACTTACGTCCTTTTCTCTCTCAGCCCTCTTCATTCTTATGACCCATACAGAAGTGAAATCACTTAGTGCTTTTGTGACCTTAGGCAGGTTACTTAACCTCTCTGTGCCTCAGTTTTGTCGCCAGTAAAATGGGGCTATCAGTAGGACCTACCTCACTGGGTGGTTGTGAGAAATCACATAACACATGTATTACATAAGCCTCAGACCAATGCCTGGTACATTATAAGCACTCATTAATTGTAATGAGATAGCTCTGATTGTAATTTTGATTACTGTACAATCTTCTCTTAATTTTCAGCTTGAAAACAAACAAAAAAATAAAACCATACTGTGAAAAATTACCATACTTTTCAACAAATCTTTTTCTGCTTACACATCAAGACACAGCCTAAATCTGCCCTTCCAGTTTCAAAGAGGAAGATCAGATTTACAGTACATAAAAGGGAAGGCAGCTTCACAGTAACCTTGCAGCTCTACTACTGAGAAAATGCCAGAATTTATGCAGGCATGAAACAATGTAAAGCAACAAAAACATGTCTCATTTCATCAGACGTTGTCACCGGCATGGAATGAGGAACATTTTCAAGCTAGAACAAAGACATTGTAGGAGTTTATTTAGCATCATCACCACATTCAGGAAGGCTGGTTAGGGAAAGTTCTGTTGACAACAACATAATTGAGACAGCGGTGTTGTTTGTTTTATCAGCAAATTGTTTTCTCAAGCAAAACCCCATTCGTGGCGAGAAATCTCTTAGAGAAGCTTTCTAGGCAGATCCAAGTGATGGAAAAACTCGCAGCTGTCAGTGATGAGAACATAGGAAATATCAGTTCTGTTGTGGAAGGTAAGTATCTGCCAGTTACACCAGCATTCATGTAAATGATGACACCCCTAACCCAATCTGCTGCCTGTGACTGTTCAATATGTTGCTGGAAAAACAGAAAAGCAATCTTAGGCCATAGCATAGAGTAAGGTCTCTATACTAGTTGGCCTGGTTAACACCACACTTCAGCCTTCTGAGTCAAAACAGCAGACACATAGCTATTTCTTTTTTTCATATATATATGTATTATATATATGTTTTTTTTTTTTCAGAGCCAGGGGTCTCACTATGTTACCCAGGCCAGTCTCATTGATTTCCCGGGCTCAAGTGATCCTCCTGAGTAGTGGGGACTGGAAGCATGTGCCACTGCACCCAATTCCATGTAGTTTTTCCTATCGGGCCTCCACCTCCCAGAAGTCAGACACAGACACAGAGACAGCGTCCACCTAGCAGGCAGAGTTTTCACAGACTTTCTGATGGTGTGATTCCTTTTAGGGACAGATGGTCAGGACTGTTCTTGTGCCATGGACTTGTCTATGACAACTCCTATACTGACTGTCAAATGGAAGATGCTTCCAAACCTTGCTGGAAAAAGGCAGAGATGCATAGATTCAAAGGCCCCAGGAGAGTCCCTGGTTCTAAGAGTTTTAAATAGAGAACTTGACATGGGGAAGATACTTTTGAATTTGTGTGGTCTGTCTATAGGGCACTTTTGTAAAGACAAGAATATATGTCTCTTTTCACATCAGATACTCAGTGGAAGTAAGACCTTCTAGATCATCTCTGATTAAGCCTTAAACTCCCTTTCCCTATACATTTCTGCCTCCTGCATCTATTACTACTAGAAGCAAGTGACCTTGACAGGTCTCTGAGAGGCATATCAAAGGGCAGGACACTCGGCTGCAAGCGACTTATGTCCTTTCCTCTCGCAGGCCCCTCTTCACAATCACAGCCACATCCAAGTGAAACATTGATCCTGTGCTACCAGGGACCATGCTGTCCAGTCATTGCGGTCTGAGAGCCCTCTGGCCACCTACTGCTACGTTCCACCCCCTTAGGAAAATCTCCTGAAGTTTGGGTCTCTGATCCGATGGATTTTTGCTATAAAGTTACAGGAGATGAGATGACTGGAATGTCTCCCAAGGGTAGAGCTGCTGTGTTTCCTATCACTGAAAGCAAACAACCTTGTTTTTCCTCCATTTTGTTTGTTTTTTTTTTTTTTTTTTGCTCTCCAATGAGCTCCTCGTCATAACTTCTTTACCCTTTGGACCATTTGCCAACCACAGAGGAATCTTGTAGTTCCAACTGAAAACCGCAGTCCTATAGAAAAAAAACCCACAAAGGCCCCATCACACTTCCCCCTCCCCCACCCAGGCGCATGTCTCTGTCTGCTCCCTTTAACACATGTGTTGTGGGTGGGGGTTGCTCTTCTTCTCCAGCTATACCAGAGTTCCACAAAAAGCTGTCTTTGCTGTCATTCTGGACCAAGTGCTGCAGCCCAGTTGGCGTCTACCACAGCTCAGCTGACAGGGTGATTAAGCAGCTGGAAGCCAGCTTTGCCAGAACTGTCAACAAAGAATATCCAGGACTTGCAGACCCAGGTACAAGAGAGCAGCAGAGACAGAATTTCCGTCCTTTAGTGTGAGAGTGTGCGCAGATGGCTTTCCCCCACCCCTTGCCCCACAGCTGAGGATGGGGGGCACACAAAAGGCCAACTCTGAAAAAATGGTGTCCTCTCCAGGGAAAACAGCGTCTACTCAGTTAGATTTAAGAAAAAAAAGATGTTGAGCATGTTTTAATTGAGAATATCAGCAGTGACTTTTAAAGTTACTACATTTCTGCATATTGCTATTTCTGTATGTATACTTTTTTCATCAAAACGTCACCAATATGGGAGTGTCAAATGATACAACCACTTTGGAAAGACTGTTTGGCAGTTTCTACAAAAGCTCAACATACCCCCTACCCTAAGATCCAGCAATCCCACTCCTAAATATATTACATAAAGAGAAATAAGGGCTATGTTCACAAGAAAGGACATGTATCGGAAGATTCATAGCAACTTTATTCACAAAAGCCAAAAATTGGAAATAACCCAAATGCCCACAACAAAAGAATGGATAAATTTTATTGATACTATAGAGTATTACACACTAATTTTTTTAAAGAACACATTGTTGCTACAAGCAACAATTGGACGAATTTCACAAATACTTTGTTGGGTAAAAGGAACCAGATACAAAAAATACATACTGTTTTAATTCCATTTATGTGAAGTTCAAGAAGAGGCAAAACTAATTTATGTCAATAGAAGTCAGATTGTTAGTTACCTGTGGTAGGGATGGGCGGGTAGCTATAGACTGGGAAGGGCACAAGAAAACCTTATGGGGTGCTGGCCACCTTCTGTGTCTGATCTAAATGGCGGTTACACAGGTGTGCACATGTGCAAAGACCGTCCAGCTGTATATTGAAGATTAGCTCACTTTGTGTACTTCACCGTCTTATACCACAATGAAACATAAATAAATGAACTACTGAATGAATGAATAAAAGGTCATGTTTCTTAAACCGCTTTGTATCTTTCCCTTCCAAATAGTGTTTCGAACCCTGGTGTCTCAAATCCTGGACCAGGCTGAGCCTCTGCTTTCCTCCAGCCTCTCCTCAGAAGTCGTCACCGTTTTCCAGTATTACAGTTACTTTACCAGCCATGGTGTGAGTGACCTAGAGAGTTATCTCAGCCAGCTGGCCAGGCAAGGTAGGACGTGCTCTTTTGTCAGACTGCAGTGGTGGCTCAATTCGAAGTTATCGCTGGTCTTTTTTAATCATGGTTTTTAGTGATAGTAGCCTTTTTTTTTTTCAAGTTCACAGTTGAGCTGAGATCTGTCTTTTAAATGACTTCTGGACTTTTAACATTAGTAAGCCTCTTGTTAATGAACCAGGGATTTACTAAGAGCGCCCTAGTCATTCAGCCAGAGGTGTACCATTAATGGAAAGTTGGTGAATCATTTAAGATTTCACTGAATTTCTTTCCTTCATTAATGTATTGCTATGTGTAGGATCAAACCTACAGGCAATACTATTTTATATTCCCATTTTGGTGGGGCTTTTATTAATAATAGGAAGAAATGGGGCTTGAAAGAAAGCAGGTAGGTGATACAGTGGGAAGGAAAAGGAGGAAAACTAAATCCAGGGCTGCATGTCCATGGAACGAAGAGAGTGGGTGCCAGTGTAGGGGTGCAGTGATGAAGCTCATTCTTTCCATTTCATGTGGCCCTTCAGATATTAGAAATCAAATAAGTACCTGCATCAAATGAAAGCCTCTTCAGGAGTGGAGCCAGGCAGTGAGCAGCAGATTTCTGGTTCCCAGGTTTATGCTCTATAAATCCACAGAGCCTTGACAGTGCAGGTTGAAAGGGACTGGAGAACGAGGTGTGTTCTTTGGGACTAGGTAGAGAGTTTGGCACAGCAGCAACGTGCCTGGCACAGACGCAGCCTTAGTGCTCCATTTCAGAACATTAAACCCTGTGACAACATGGTCAGCATGTTGGTTGGCATCATGGTGAAGGAAGAAGCTCCTCCTCTAGCCAGCACTGTACCGACCTGGAGCATGGGAGAGTCTGCACATGACCCTTACGAATGGCAGCGCTCGCACAGAGGACCAGGAAGAGGAAGTGTAGGCAGGAAGACCTGGTTTAGGACGACAGGGTCTTATATTATTATAGTCTTTATTTCTTGATACTAAATTTATCACAGTCTAAATCAGTCATCTAAGAAAATGCCTATATTACTCAGTTCGTATCAGTGGTAGTTTACATCTCCAAGCCTCTTATTACGTGGTCTCCAGGAAGGCCTACTCATTTACTGATAGGAATGGGGAATGACAATGAAAAAACCCTAACCTTTTAAGTGTCC